GTGTGTCTTCAAGCCTTACGAGATATACCAAGCATTCGAGATTTGGAAATAGCAAGCCTATTTGAGACAGCGTGATTGTTGATTTACGTGATGTTCCATGTTTTGTATCTAGCTTTAGATTGGAAATATTGTTGTACTGCGGCAGGCTTTGCACTAGAGTATTATTGACAGCAAAAACATCTGGCGAATAATGAGACAACTGGAGTGTGGGCAACTTAGGAAACAAATCGAGTGTCTTGAAAAACGAGCTTCCGAAATAGGAATTGTCTAGCCTCAGTATTTTAAGGCTTTTTCCTTGTAACTGGGATATTTTAACCAAAAAGTTATATACAGATTGCTCTGTATAGTTGAGCATTTTTATGTCGTGAATTTGCGGATTACATTTAACAAGCCCAACCACGCTATACAGATACTTGTGTGGAACACTATCTATAACTAGCTTCAGCAAGTTTGGATAATTGCTTGAAAGGTTGACCAAGGACCCTTCTTGAATATAAAAGGGGAATTTCAGATACATAGACTGCATACTGTAAAAGGACTTGTAACTAATGTCTAAGTGGTATGTCCTGTTGCTTGATCCACCGAAACTCTTCCAATCGTTATAGACTAAATTAGGCTCATAAACAATTTTTCTTGTTGCCAAATCCCAATCTTTAGAAAGAATGGCTAAACTACGGATATCGACGTTTTTCTTTCTCCATTCTTTATATTCTTCTGGACTCATAGTATTATGTTTAGCATAAACATAATTGGCGCTTACATAGTCCCATATCAACGCCTTTAGATCTAAGGGTAAGTCTTTCGCGTTCCCCAAATTGGCCATGACAAGGTATGGAGTTATTTTGTTGGTGAGACTATCTATTAGAATAATAGGAATGGGGAAAGGAATGTCGATAGAATAAGGGATGTCCCAGTGGCTAAATTATGTATATATATGTGTGGATGAATTTGCTCAATATTGCAGTGGTTGTTAGGTAATGTCAAACAGTATAAATGCTGATCAAAAGCAACTTCAAAACTTAGCTCATTGCTATTATTTGGCTATGTCATATGACAGTTTGATAACATCCCGAGTCTAATGGACAAGCACTGAGAATGCAAGAAAGAGAGAGAAACATAAAAGCCAAATGACTGTAATTGAAGAGATGCTTTGAAGGAATGATATCACTCACATGTGTAAAGGAGTAATGTGAAAACATGTGGGACTGCAATTTATCAAAGATACTTTTCATGATGCTCAGATTTCCCTTGAGACCAAATGACAGGTTCTCTATCAAAAGTATATCAAATTATACCCTCGCACTAGCTACAAGTATGACCCATAAACTATACATTTAGCCTGGTATTGGAAGGTTCATTCCAGCACACTTTCAGAGGATGTTTTGCCATATCTTCCTCTCTCTCTCCCCCCCCCCATTTGAATAACATCAATAATCAAATAGTTAGATTCTAGTTAAAACAAATATGTAGTAGTCAGAAATAAGTTCTTTATTTTCGACTCAATCACAACCCATTTGCTATGCAACTCCTGTGGGCCCCTTTTTTGCCTAATGTGGTGTAAAAAACTTGTCCAACTTAATTCAGGTATTTTAAAAAAACAAAATATCTTTTTTCCAATTTTTATTAAAACAATAATAATAATAATAATAATCAAACAATAGAGTATTTTATAAACTTTATTGCTTGATTGTTTCTGCTATTATTTATATAAATTGCACATGTAAATTTTGACAGAATTCAGACTATTTGTTTACTTAATCAACAATCATGATGAATCTCAACTTTCTCACGGTAAACGCAAACTCCATCAAGTCATTAGAACAGATATTGAAAGCAGTCTCTAATGCCATTCCAATAAATGACCAACCACTATTATCAATCAAACCACGAGCATCCATATTAGCAGTGGGGATACTGATAGTGGTACTATTAACACTAACAAGATTATCAAGAATCTTTTTATATTCCCAATTATTGATATGAATAAATTTGGTATTGAGTCTAAACAAATCACCAACCAAATTTCTGGTAAATTTGTTATCCTTAAATTTGGGCAAATGTTCATGATTGCCAGCTTCGACACTAGTAGAAGCAAAAGCACGAGCAAATAAAGGAGACGAAAATTGCGGTGGTAGTTCAGAAATAACAATACCAAACTCATCTTCGACATCATCACAAAGCTTTTGAACAGTTTGCACAATATGAAGGTGAATTTCTTCGCAGACTTGATGAACTAGCTTATAAACCAATTGCTTATCACCAGTGCTACTATCGGGGTGGTTGGGATTGTGATACGTAATGTAATATTGCCGAAATTGGTCGAGATTTACAATAGATTGATTACACATGTTTCGATATTTTTCAAGTTCACCAGGAGTCCAAATGTTATTGAGATAACTTTCAATCTCGTTACTGAACTTGTTGTTAATAGTGGTTATATCTTCGGAAGAATCGTCTGAAATATCAGTAGAAAGTTCATGTGCACGCTCGGAAGATGCTTGAGAGACTTCTGAAGGATCGTCAAGGTGTTGTTGGTGCAGTTGAAGCGAAGGAGGGGCTCGAGGTAATTTGCTGAGATTGTACATATCATCGATCATTTCTATACAGTGATCTCGGATTGTATCCAAGGCTGGAATATATGTCGTCATTGTGGTGAGGATTGTTGATATAGCAGTGGTGTTTTGGTTAAGGTTATAATTCACGTTGGGGAAGGCTGTGTCAATTGTAATCCAAAATAGAAAAAAATAGAAAAAAAGAAAGTTTGTATGTTTAGAAAGATTTGGAGTATTGGCAATCTTTCATTTACTATTTAAATATTTCTTGTTTTTGTATTACAGATATTATGTGATCACATTGGTAAGCGCTTTCTGTTGAGCAATTCAAATGTATTTTGTTTACTAATTTAGCAATATACTTTGGCAACAATATGAGTAGCACCATTGAGACTACTATTAGGGCCAATAATGATTATAGGTGATTCTTCTCAAGCATTTTAAAAGGTGTGATTTAAAATCAAAGAATACGAAGAATAGTTCTCATGGCCACAATTCGTCTTAGTTGAAAGGATTGAGCGATATCAAGGATAAGTTTGGAAAACTTAAAATCTGGCTTACTATATTCTTTTTTAATCGCCAAATAAATGAGAGAATATGAAAATTTATTTACCAACAAACACGTGTACTAAATGAACCAAATTTTACAAATAAGCAATGGAATGAAAAAAGGATATATCTGTACTTGTTACTAAGCCCCCACTGTGGATAAATGTGTCGCAATCATATATCCATATAGACAGTTTCGTCAGAAGTATACAAGTGACCAAATCTCATTACGTGCTTTATAGCACTATTTAATAGACTTGTAGGCGAAAACCAGGGATATTTTGTATCTTTTTCTCCATAAATGCGATGATCCATAGCTGACGGAACAAGCGCATAAGCGTTGATTTTACCCTTTGTAATCTCTAGCGCCATCATCTGATCGAGTGGGCCATAACAGTCATTGCCAAAATAATCCAGCAACTTTTCAACGCCTCGCTTATTGATGAGGTATCCAAACGTACAGCGTGCACTTTTGACTTTGATTAGTGGTTTAAAGGAGGGATCAACCGGAGTTGTGCTTTCTTGCTCAGTGCCACAATGGCCGACATAGAATACATCCCAATCCACTGCTGCCTTTTTAGAAGACAATTTCCCATTATCAGCATCAGCGGCAGTCGCATCTTTATTTACATCTCTCTTAGTCGCATCCTTAGGCGATGGTGGCAGTCCCGGTTTTTCAGACAATGTCGAATTTGATATCCCCAGCACACTTAACCCCTTCTTGATCTGTTCACGAATATCCATGTTCATATCAACATCGTCCTCCAAAACCAACGCAGTCTCGTACCCCTTTGCTAGGAAATCTCTCCAGATCTCTCGGTGTGCCATCCAGTCTCCACCAACCCCCGCGATCATATTGTGTTCCAAGCCTCCTGGCGCCTTAACAGCCATATAATCTTTATACAAATCAACACCACGAACATACTGAACATCCAACCCCAAAGTGTCAAACAAGCTTTGGGCGTGCCCTCTTCTCAGCATATCCTTCGGCATACTGACCACATAAATGTTGTCGGTATACAACTTCTCTGCAGGTTTGGAAAATCGAGTATCCCGGTGAACCACATATTTTGATGAAAATTCATCCAGATAAAGGTGGATGGGCTCTTTGTATGCAGAAAATACTGTAATCAATGCTGATAACACAACAAACATGGCAAACACTATTACAAGAAATTTGGTGCTCAATCCCCTTCTTTGCTTTTCATAGCTTGGGCGGTTACCACGACCATTTTGCAGGAGATAGTCTTGGATTTCGTCTATTTCGTCCACTTCGTTGTTTATGGCCGTCATAACAATACAATATTTATTTATATGTGTGTATATATGTATGAGTTTGGTGTTGTATGGAATTGAGTTGATTGAATTGATCAAAAATAAAAGGGTTTATGTTAATGAAAAAATAGAGAGAAAAACGATATGGAAATGAGTTCTTTCACAGTCTTAGACCTGTGAGAGTTTGCTATAAACTCGAGTGTTAATTATATGCCCAAGTTTTTATTTATATATAAATAGGAAAACGTGTGGGTTTTAATTTTTACCCGAATCTTGGATGGTTGGTTCAAAGTAAATACCACGCCAAGTCAGGCTCTATGGTAAATATCACTCCATAAAACTACGATTTGGATTAATAGCCTATAAGAAACTTATAGTCACCATATCTACGCTGGTTACTGCCCTATAACATGGCCCTTCAGCCACTGGTTTCAATTATTCCTAGTTGGTATACAATTTTAGGTTGTATGTGAAACATGGCTAAAATGTGGGGTAAACCACTAAAATATCACTATACAAACAAGTCAAAAAAGATCTGAAGTCCAAAACTACAATAAATGATTTTTTAAAGGTGTGGGATCATGCTATCTATGTTTATAGAAAATTAATAGGTTTTGAAAAAAATGCATCGACCGGGAATCGAACCCGGGCCACTTGCTTGGGAAGCAAGTATTCTACCATTAGACCATCAATGCTATTAATCACAAAATTTTTAGTTTATCTTTTGAAGCTATGAATAAAGATACTATTTTATATACTGTTTATTATAGCATTTATTGCAAGTCTCATTTGCAATAACCATAAAAGTAAGCCTCATAATAAGAATACAATGCAAAACTCAATCGCTATCTATTATTTTTATTATTATTAATATTCCTTTTTCTATAGTAAAACTTTTTACTATTGATACCCTTATGCCATAGTAAACATCTGTTGTAATATTTTCAATATTACAATTCATTTTGGCTATGGCACAACACCAACAAAGCCTTTTCATTTTAATAACTTTCTAACAGAACTAAAGTTATTTCAAATGACCCGAAACTATTAATGTGCTTTGAATTTTCAAATATTCTATATATTATTGATTTAAATTCAAATCTACTTTAAAGCCTACATTTATAAGAGCCTGGTTAGACAGCAAAAATCTGCAATTTAGCAGGTTACATCAATAAAGTTCTATTCATTCAGAAATTTTGTCTCTCTCACTCTCTCTTTGTAGCCAATCCCTAAAGGTGTATGTTCTTGATAGGTCACCTAAAAAGAAAGAGCAAGTCTTGTAAAAAAGATGAACAAGAATGGCATATACACAGGTAAAAATTGTGTTCAGGATGAAGTAAAGGCTCAGTTCCAATATCAAACATCACGATTATTTGAAGAAAGCATAGAATGACATCAAAGAGCTTCAAAATTTTACGATACACCAGAAATGCAACTATTCCACCAGTAATAAATCCCAAGAAAAACAAGCCTGAATGTTTTCTTCTTGGGACAATCCTTATCCAAACTTTGCACAAGGGCACAAATATGGATCATAATTTTTGAAGAGTGAATTTTGGTGACCAGTGATTATAGAGGCAATCCCAACCCAATGGATGTCCAGCTGTACTAGTTAACTTTCACCCTTCAAAAATTATTACCCATATTTAGCAATAGCAGTTGAATTCAAATTATAATATGCAAGATCACAGAAGAAAGTTAAGGCTGTTGAGCCGATTTTGAAGGGAATGTATTGAATTGGAATTTGTTACACATTTTATGGAGAGCTGGCCATATCTTTTGAAACATAATTTCCTTTTTTATTTTTTAAACAAAATTCTTGGCTTAAGAGTGTACTGAAAATATCTCTAGAATAAGGTCAGGTGATATTTGGCAACAGGAAGCTTTCAGTGTACTAACTTCTTGTCAGCTTCATATAGAGGAACCTTCATGAATACTTTTTAAATGATCTCGTTCAGATACTCAATCTGGCGACAACTGTTGAGCAACTTAAATATTCAAGTCCTTTTATACCTTAACAACTCACTCAGCTTTTTCGCTCTAAATAATGGCTACCTTTTTTCTACTCTATTTTAATAGGTAGTCACAAAATATATTAGTTAGCAGAAATCCCTATTCCGTTCTTAATGCATTATAAAAACACTTTTCCAAATCTTGCTAGTATTAGCTCATATAAGGAATAATTTTTGAAGGGTACCTTTTGGTGGGTAATGATTATAGGCGCAATCACAGCCAAATGAGTGACTAACCCTTAAAAAATAATCGCCCATATGGACTCATTCTGATAAAAATAATGTTTACTTATTGGCAAAATACCAGTAACCTTTGACAGTTTTTAAATCACATTGGAAAACATGGAGTGGAATATAATTTGGTGAAATATAAAAGTGAAAACTGTTTTGGTAGTAATATAATAGGATTAGTTTATAAATAAGATTTACAAAATGATCATACAAAATCGTCACTAACATGCAATGTTGGTATTTTCTAAAGAGAGAAAATAAGCAGAGCAAGGTGATATGAGGTTGAGACTAAAGACATATCCATGATTAAACCCATGATGGCTTTAGATTGTCATCAAGATCAACATTAACATCAGCGACTTCAATAAACTACAAAACAATTTAAATCGTTGAGTTAAGGATCTCTATAAAACAGTTTTCAAGGTAAGATGTACGTGAATTGTGTTTAGAACATACCTCTTGGTCAGCGATGCGAATCTTGGTCCCAGAGAAGCGTTGGTACTCAGTAAATATAGCAGTCATTGCCCATCTTTGGATCTTTCGTATGCAACCAACAATACATCCAACTCGTCTCTACATTTCCAATACAACAATATTTATATTATAAAAAACTCTTACATATTTAATAGACTTAGGGATGAATCAAATAACTTACGATCCCGCGGTTACAGTGAATCAATACTGGGTGATTAGTTTTGTCTACAAATGACAAGCAAGTTTAATATTTTATAGCACCACTAGCAATTATTTAGTAAAAATAAGCCAAATAGTTTCTTACCAAGCACTTGACCAAGAATCTTTTTAACATCATCGTTATTCATCTCTTCAAAAGGCTCCTAAACAATTCGAATTTGGTATATGCCTATTAGCATTTGAAAATCTATATGCAGATCATTTAATTAAGGGTGACATATCCCTTACCTTGTTGGCATCCATTTTGTAATGCATAAAGTTTATGTTATTATCTTCAATAAACTTTAGATGATACTCTTTACAGTCATCATTATGAACATATCTAGAACAAAAACATTCATTATTATTACCTTTAAATATAAAAGTGTCCCAATATCCAAGAACACTGTGATATAAATACTAGAATGTGGTACTGCTTACATGATAGTTTTTAATCCCAAGTATAACAAGAATTCATGGCTTTTGCGATTAGGAAATCCAGATCGATATACACCAGGTGCCACCATACTAAAATTTAATGGTGGGACTAGCAATTGCGATTCATTCGGTCGAGGAACCTGGTAATTTTGATGGTGGCAATAATGTTGCTCCACACACTTTGCACAGTTTTGGCTCATCCTTTGTTTTTCTTTTATTCGTAGAATACAGCGTAGATTAATGTACAGGTATTTGTAGATTTTGAACTTTATATTGCATAATTTTTTATGGTTACTAAATGTTTGTATAATATCTCACCAGTATGAATAGTGGATTATGGGCAATGTATCTAAAATTAAGTAGACTATTAATGAATTTGATGCCATTTAATCTTTATATGATACAGCTAAAGTATATTAATGTAGCGTATATATGAATATCAATGCCACAAAGAAATTTTATTATATTTATAAACTATTATTCAAAACAATCATCTACTATCCTAAAACGCAGAATCAACATTTCTGATCCACATCCCCATAATAGTGAAAAAGAAATCCTTTTCTATCTGTCTTTTACCTTTCCTTCTAAATTCGCAAGCTCTTGTTTGCTATTACACAAAACGCATACACATAAAGATGGGACAGATCAAAAAGAAAAGACGTGCACCATTAAGACGGCATGCCCCCGTAACGGCTATTACCAACACCCCCACAAAACCATTGTCGGCATTAGCGAATTCAAATGTTGGAAGAGAAAAAAATGAAACGAATCCACATCAAATTATTCGGGCCCTACATGTTCTAAACAAAGATCTAGCAAAATGTCAGAACGAATTAAACGAAATATCCAACAACAACAACAACAATAGTGTGGTGCTGGCAAATAATCCAAGACTTATTGAACTACACACAACTATTGAATCAATAAAAAAGGAAATCAAAGCTTTAGGCGGAATTGAAAAGTATCAACGAGCAAGTTTGAAAGGACAAAGTAAAAAACGAGGAGGAAATACTAGTAAATGGCTGATAGGGAAATTAAAGAAACATAAACTATTGCCAATAAAAAATATGGCGAAAAAGGTAATTTGAGTGTATCAAGTTTTATTATTAATTTATAAAGGTTTAAACAATGTATTTGGCTAAATATCAATTAACAATTGCTGTTTTGTTCGTGTAGCTTCTTTTGCTGGATGTTGGAGCATTAAGTTGTTCCAATTATTCAAGCCAGGCTTCAATGATCAAGGTTATTCCAATTGACCTGAATTCACAAGAAAAGGGAATCATCCAACAAGACTTTCTATTGCTTGAGCCGCCGTCATTACCACAACCCCTGAACACCAAAAAAAATCCACCAAAAAAATTAATAGAAAATACTGAATCAATTACTAATGCTAGCAATGATGATGATGACGATGACGACGATGACGATGATGATGAATCAGTAAATTCGTTGGTATTAACAGACTTTTTTGATATAATCTCACTATCATTGGTCGTCAATTTTGCAGGAGACCCGCGTCAACGAGGTCGGATGTTAGAAAAAGCTTATCAACTACTAAAACCCTCTACGGGATTGCTATATCTTGTTCTACCACGACCCTGCGTAACCAAATCTCGATATTTTGATGGAAATCTGCTAGTCAAAATGACTAAAGCCATTGGATTTACTAGACTGGTGGAGAGTCATCATTCAAAGAAACTTGCTCATTATATTTTCCAACGCGATTCCAAACAGTTACCGCATGATGACAACAAAGGGGATGGTAAATATCAACCATCGACTGGCAGTGGTAGCAGCGGTGGTTCTAATCAAGTTAGATTTCCCAAAAAACTTTTGCATTCAAAACCAAATTTTAATAACTTTTCAATTGTTTTATAAATCGATTTCCTTTTTGAATGCTAAAATATATGATGTTCATTGAAAAATTACATTACATTAATGGGTATAATAAAGTTTAGTTGGTAGATGCTTTTGGTAGTAGAAAATGGGCAGGCCGGATGGACAGGCAAGTGACGAATCAAGGTTGCTGTGTTTGATTAAATTATATTGGAATTTTTGGTTGGCGAGATCAATCAATCAATAATCACAACTTTTTAATTTTTTTTCTAGGTTAATAGTCAAAATACAAGGCAATACGCATAGTAGACAACCTTTCAGCATACTTTACATTTACAGCCTTCTTATTGTATCACATATCAAATAGGGTATACTAATATTAATTGAAATTTCAAAAAACACAAAATGCCTCGTCCAGAACATCAAGCACCCCCAGAAATTGTAAGTCACAAATTTATTCCATAAGGGTTCGATATTGGTATTCGCAGATACTTGAAAATACT